TTTACTGGGAAATAATTTCCCTCTTTCCTACATACTCTAACTTGAGCCTCACTATCCTCGTAAAAACTCTTCACTGCTTTCAGTAACCAACCTCCTACACCATACACCTGCAACATCTGCCACATTGCCTCCCCTATCCACCCTGTCATACGCCTTTTCCAAATCCATAAATTCCACAAAGACCTCTTTAGCCTTATCTAAATACTGTTCACTTATGTGTTTCACTGTAAACACCTGGTCCACACACCCCCTACCTTTCCTAAAGCCTCCTTGTTCATCTGTAATCCTATTCTCCGTCTTACTCTTAATTCTTTCAATAATAACTCTACCATACACTTTACCAGGTATACTCAACAGACTTATCCCCCTATAATTTTTGCACTCTCTTTTGTCCCCTTTGGCTTTATACAAAGGAACTATGCATGCTCTCTGCCAATCCCTAGGTGCCTTACCCTCTTCCATACATTTATTAAATAATTGCACCAACCACTCCAAAACTATATCCCCACCTGCTTTTAACATTTCTATCTTTATCCCATCAATCCCGGCTGCCTTACCCCCTTTCATTTTACCCACTGCCTCACGAACTTCCCCCACACTCACAACTGGCTCTTCCTCATTCCTACAAGATGTTATTCTTCCTTGCCCTATACACGAAAATCACAGCTTCCCTATCTTCATCAACATTTAAGAATTCCTCAAAATATTCCCTCCATCTTCCCAATACCTCTAACTCTCCATTTAATAACTCTCCTCTCCTATTTTTAACTGACAAATCCATTTGTTCTCTAGGCTTCCTTAACTTGTTAATCTCACTCCAAAACTTTTTCTTATTTTCAACAAAATTTGTTGATAACATCTCACCCACTCTCTCATTTGCTCTCTTTTTACATTGCTTCACCACTCTCTTAACCTCTCTCTTTTTCTCCATATACTCTTCCCTCCTGCATCACTTCTACTTTGTAAAAACTTCTCATATGCTAACTTTTTTCTCCCTTACTACTCTCTTTACATCATCATTCCACCAATCGCTCCTCTTCCCTCCGGCACCCACTTTCCTGTAACCACAAACTTCTGCTGAACACTCCAACACTACATTTTTAAACCTACCCCATACTTCTTCGACCCCATTGCCTATGCTCTCATTAGCCCATCTATCCTCCAATAGCTGTTTATATCTTACCCTAACTGCCTCCTCTTTTAGTTTATGAACCTTCACCTCTCTCTTCCCTGATGCTTCTATTCTCCTTGTATCCCATCTACCTTTTACTCTCAGTGTAGCTACAACTAGAACGTGATCTGATATATCTGTGGCCCCTCTATAAACATGTACATCCTGAAGTCTACTCAACAGTCTTTTATCTACCAATACATAATCCAACAAACTACTGTCATTTTGCCCTACATCATATCTTGTATACTTATTCATCCTCTTTTTCTTAAAATATGTATTACCTATAACTAAACCCCTTTCTATACAAAGTTCAATCAAAGGGCTCCCATTTTCATTTACACCTGGCACCCCAAACTTACCTACCACACCCTCTCTAAAAGTTTCTCCTACTTTAGCATTCAGGGACCCTACCACAATTACTCTCTCACTTGGTTCAAAGGCTCCTATACATTCACTTAACATCTCCCAAAATCTCTCTCTCTCCTCTACATTCCTCTCTTCTCCAGGTGCATACACGCTTATTATGACCCACTTTTCACATCCAACCTTTACTTTAATCCACATAATTCTTGAATTTACACATTCATATTCTCTTTTCTCCTTCCATAACCGATCCTTCAACATTACTGCTACCCCTTCCTTTGCTCTAACTCTCTCAGATACTTCAGATTTAATCCCATTTATTTCCCCCCACCGAAACTCCCCTACCCCCTTCAGCTTTGTTTCGCTTAGGGCCAGGACATCCAACTTCTTTTCATTCATAACATCAGCAATCATCTGTTTCTTGTCATCTGCACTACATACACGCACATTCAAGCATCCCAGTTTTATAAAATTTTTCTTCTTCTCTTTTTTAGTAAATGTCTACAGAAGAAGGGGTTACTTTCCCATTGCTCCCGGCATTTTAGTCACCTCATACGACACGCATGGCTTACGGACGGAAGATTCTTTTCCACTTCCCCATGGACAATAGAAGAAATAAAGAAGAACAAGAGCTATTTAGAAAAAGGAGAAAAACCTAGATGTATGTACAGGAAGGCCCCGCTTTACGGCGTTTCACTTTACGGCGTTCCGCTAATACGGTCATTTCAAATTATGACCAAAACTCGCTATACGGCTCCCCCCACCTGACTTTCTAATACGGTCACCGCGCCCCACCTTGTTTGCTTACATTCTTCGTGAGCTCAGTAAGCACTAAGTCTCTCCATTTTGGCTGGAAACTCCAAAATTTCAAATGTTTTTAAAAGTTATTTCATATTTTATATATACTCAGATAATTATACTTATGTATACCTGTACTTAAATAAACTTACATACTGTGCTGGCATGCAGGTACACATTAAAATCAGTAAGAGTGTCTTATGTCTCCAGACGTCATATTAGTAATGATAATAATAATCATCGTCTCATTTAAATGTCGTATATTACGTTAAATACACATTTTCATTAATCCATCTATGATATTTTTTCAAAATCATATAATAAACACGATACATAACATAAAAAGATGTTAAATACACCCCACAATAGAATAAATAAACATAAATATGAGATGTGGTAGCAGACGACTTGCACAAGTGACGCCATATTAGAAATGCTAATAATACAGTGGACCCCCGGTTAACGATATTTTTTCACTCCATAAGTATGTTCAGGTGCCAGTACTGACCGAATTTATTCCCATAAGGAATATTGTGAAGTAGATTAGTCCATTTCAGACCCCCAAACATACACGTACAAACGCACTTACATAAATACACTTACATAATTGGTCGCATTCGGAGGTAATCGTTATGCGGGGGTCCACTGTAATAATAATAATAATCACCGAGTCTTATTAAATGTTGTATATTACGTTAATATACACATTTTCATTAATCCATCCATGATATTTTTTTCAAAATTATATAATAAACACGATACATAACATAAAAAGATGATAAATACACCCTACAATAGAATAAATAAACATAAATATGAGATGTCGTAGCCAGATAACTTGTACAAGTGATGCCAAGAATAACATTTTCTCTAATCTAACATAAGAGAAAATGTGTTACTGGGGGTAACTGTAGAAAATTATTCCTTTCGTATGTATGTAAGTAAGTTTATTCAGGTATACACAAATACAGTTACATAGATTATCATACATAACAACATATGTGTAGAGAACCTAGGATAACCCAAAAAAGTCAGAGTGACTTATTTCCATTGCCTTCACTCAGAGCATCATTTCTTCTGAAAATGATGTTACATGAGAATGGGAGTGTTCTTCTTTATTTATTCTACCGTATCAATGTAGAGACAACCTGTACACAATGTAACTTGTACACAAACCAGACGTGTACACTTTGTTTACAAAACTTACCTTCGCCTGGTTTGTTTACATAACTCTGCGCCTGTCCTCTCTCATGCACTCATTCTTTCTCTCTCTCATTTATTCGTTTTATCTTATTTACTTACTCCTGACCCTACATTAAGACTACAAATATTTTAAGGTAAGTAATGAGTGAACTGTATATACATTTTATCGCTCTGGGATGCTTAAATATCATGGAATATATGTGTGGGTGGGTTGGCCTGGTATGGTAGCCCGGCTGACTACCATACATACCACACTTGATTTTTTACAATAAATACTACTCATCTCACCCTATATTTTAAGGTAAGTAATGAGTGAACTGTATATACATTTTATCGCTCTTGGATGCTTAAATATCATAGAATTGTATGTGTGGGTGGGGTGGCCTGGTATGGTAGCCTGGCTGACTACCATACATACCACACTTGATTTCTTACAATAAATACTACTTGTTTCACCCTAGATTAAGACTATAAATATTTTAAGGTAAGTAATGAGTGTTTTGTACTTTTTATTGTTTTTTGATGCCTGGTTCTATGTTAGTGTAAACTTGTTATCTAGTGTTTGTATGCATTTGTAAGTGGAAAAAAAGGGTGTTCCACTTTACAGCGGTTTCCGCTTTACGGCGGTAGCCTGGAACCTAACCAGCCATATAAGTGGGGCCTTCCTGTATATATATATGCATGTGCGTGTCTGTGAAGTGTGACCAAAGTGTAAGTAGGAGTATCAAGATATCCCTGTTATCTAGCATGTTTATGAGACAGAAAAAGAAACCAGCAATCCTACCATTATGCAAAACAGTTACAGGTTTCTGTTTCACAGTCATCTGGCAGGACGGTAGTACTTCCCTGGGTGGTTGCTGTCTACCAACCTACTACTACTAAATATCATAGATGGATTAATGAAAATGTCTATATTAACCTAAAATAAGATATTTAATGTGCCCAAGAGTGTTTATTATTATGTATTAGTATTACAACTATGGCATTAAGACTAGAAGGATACTATTAGTGAACGAGTATGTAATGTGTTTCTTATATAATTTTGAAGAAAATATCATAGATGGGCTAATGAAAATGTCTATATTAACCTAAAATAAGATATTTAATGTGCCCAAGAGTGAGTTGTGAGCGTATGAGCGGCCCAGGCACATGTGTCTGGTACCAATGATTTCCAAGCGAATGTACAAAACCCGGGGGAAAATTTTGCCGAGAAAAGTGCTCAAAATCCAAATTGTATGATTTCCGCACCAGATGAAAACTGGGGGTCCACTGTATATTGGAGTTATCTACTCTGGATTTTTGGGGAAATCCCAATGAAAGAAAGTAAAGCTGCTAAAGTAATGAAAAATTGCTGAATAGATATACAGAGAACATTCTCTACTAAACAAAATTTTAAATTCTGTAAAAGAGCTATAACAAGGTTTGTTAACCATATAATTTTTATTATTTTCATGTTTAACAGGAAAACATTTCAATGAGTTACTCAGAAGATTTGGTTCACCCATCGTTATCTTGAACCTTGTGAAGAGACGTGAACGTCGCCCCCATGAATCCATCCTCAACACAGAGTATTGCAATCTTATTGACCAACTGAACATTACTCTTCCCCCACAGCACCAAATCCAGTATGTAGCTGTTGATATGGCTCGCATCAATAAACAGTAAGTTAATTTTAGTGCTTGAAGTTAGTGATATACAATAAACCCTCTCATTAAGCACAGCTTTTATTCCTGAGAATCTGTGCATAACGTAAAAAAGTGTCATGCAAAGATAATAACATACGGTGGAACCTTGGTGTTTGAACTTAATTGATTCCTAGGTAGTTTTCAAACTGAAAACTTCGATGTCTGAAACAGTTTTTCCCAGGCTTTAATTATCAGCCTTGCACACTGGAGGATTTTTAATTGACTCTTCAAGTCTCTGAGAGTTAGGTCAGTGTCAGAGGTCACTTCAGAGTGCTTTGAAACAGGGTTTTCATGTGAAGTTTTTTTACAACTGAATTTTAAGCAAGCCAGCATGTTCGGAATCAAGAGAAACGCTCAAAGACCTGGTCAATTTTTTCTGAACAAAATTGTTTGGACTCAGTTCATTCGAGGTCTCGTATGTAAGAACACCAGGGTTCCACTGTATATGAAAATAAGATTACGTTCCAGTCATCTCTAATTTTGGCAGGCAAATTTTTTTTAATATTGAACTAGGCAAAATCTGCTGCAGTACAACTTACTGTTTATTTATTTTTTTATTAACACATCTGCTGTTTCCCACCAAGGCAGGGTGGCCCAAAAAAGAAAAACTTTCATCATCATTCACTCCATCACTGTCTTGTCAGAGGCATGCTTACACTTCAGTTATAAAACCACAACATTAACACCCCTCCTTCAGAGTGTTGGCACTGTGCTTCCTGTCTCCAGGAATCAAGTCCAGCCTCCCGGTTTCCCTGAATCCCTTCATAAATGTTACCTTGCTTAAATTACAACAGCACGTCTAGTCCTGAAAAACCATTTGTCTCCATTCGCTCCTATCTAGCATGCTCACACACGCTTGCTGGAAGTCCAAGCCCCTCGCACACAAAACCGCTTTAACCCCCTCCCTCCAACTTTTCCTAGGCCGACCCCTACCCTGCCTTTCCTCCATTACAGATTTATACACTCTTGAAGTCATTCTGTTTTGTTCCAGCCTCTCTACATGTCCAAACCATCTCAGTAACCCCTCCGCAGCCATCTGGATTATAGTTTTGGTAATCCCACCTCCTAATCTCCAAACTACGGAGTCTCTGCATTATATTCAAACCACACATTACCCTCAGACATGACATCTCCACTGCCAGAATCTCCCAAAAGCACAGTGTCATTATCAAAGAGCAACTGTGACAACTCCCACTTTGTGTTAGATTCTTTATCTTTTAACCCCTCACCTCTTGCCAACACTTCTCTTACAACTCCATCTATAAATATATTGAACAACCATGGTGACATCACACATCCCTGTCTAAGGCCTACTTTTACTGGAAATTAATCTCCCTCTCGCCTACATGCTCTAACCTGAGCCTCACTATCCTCATAAAAAATTTTCACTGCTTTCAATAACCTACCTCCTATTCCATACATTTGCAATATCTTCCACATTGCTCCCTATCCACCTTATCATATGCCTTTTCCAAATCCATAAATGCCACAAATATCTCTCTATCTTTATCTAAATACTGTTCACCCATATGTTTCACTGCAAACACTTGGTTTACATGCCCCCTACCCTTCCTAAAGCCTCCTTGTTCATCTAAGTAAGTAAGTAAGTTCATTCAGGTATACACAAATACAGTTACATAGATTATCATTCATAGCAGCATATGTGTAGAGAACCTAGAATAACCCAAAAAAGTCAGAGTGACTTATTTCCATTGGGGTCTTTTTACCTTATTATTACAATATAAAGGTTATAATATCTTATTATTATTCTATAATGGAGATAACATCTTATTATCATACTAAAAAGACTATCTACTACACAAGGGTCATTAATACGAGGGTCATTACTAGGAATAAGGTAAAATTACACATTTGTTAGCTAAAAAAAAATAAAAAATCATTCCCCTCCCTTTCTGTAGCTGCATTCATCAGACACCTTTTGGCACTCTTCTTGAACTGGTTCATGCTAAGACTGGCTTAGACATGTGCGTGCAGTCTGCTCCATTCCTTTATTGCTGTACAATAAAAGGTGTTTGAAGCCTGGCCACTGACTGTGGGTACTACAAAGTTGTGTTTTCTTTCCCTAGTACTATGATTGCTTTGGTTTCCAGCCTTGACAAAATTGGCAGCAAGATATTCTGGACACTGTTTGTGAGCAATTTTATAAATATGATTTAGCTTCAGTTGTTTTACTCTGTCTTCAACATTCAGCATATCCAACTGTTGTAATTCATCCTGGCTTACATGCTCTCTTGGACCCAGGTCCTGGATAAATCTTACCATTTTGTTCTGGGTGATTTGCAGTCTTCTATCCTGCTCTTTATCTTACTCTTAATTCTTGCAATAATATCTCCACCATACACTTTACCAGGTATACTCAACAGACTTCTTCTTTCAACAAACTGGCCATATCCCACCAAGGCAGGGTGACCCAAAAAGAAAAACCTAGTTTCTCCTTTTAACTATAGTAATGTATACAGGAGAAGGGGGTTACTAGCCCCTTGCTCTCGGCCTTTTAGTCACCTCTTATGACATGCATGGCTTACGGAGGAAGAATTCTGTTCCACTTCCCCTTGGAGAACTCAACAGATTATTCCTCTAATTTTTACTCTCTCTTTTGTCCCCTTTATACAAAAGAATTACGCATGCTCTCTGCCAGTTCCTAGGTACCTTACTCTCTTCCATACATTTATTAACCCTTTCAGGGTTTCCGACGTACTAGTACAGCTTAGGCACCAGGGTTATTGAGGTACTAGAATGCCTAAATTCTCGCTCCTTCAAATCTAGTGAGAGAAAGCTGGTAGGCCTACATATGAAAGAATGGGGTCTATGTGGTCAGTGTGCACAGTATAAAAAAAATCCTGCAGCACACAGTGCATAATGAGAAAAAAAAACTCCGACCTTGTTTTTGGTTTAAAACAGCGACTTTGCAGTGTATTTTCGTATGGTATCTATGGTAGTATTCTAGTTTTCCTGGTCTTATTTTATAGAATGGAAGACATATTATGGAAATTGGGATGATTTTTGATTGGTTTCATCATGAAAAGTACCTTGAAATTGAGCTCAAAGTAGCAGAAATGCTTGATTTTTACCAAATTTCAAAAGTAAACAAATGCCATGAGTCCAATACACCTCACCTGGTGAGTCTAATATTCTTTTACAAGTGCATTGATATTATTTATACCATTTCTACACTAATGCAGTAGTCTGCGTAACAGTAAATCTTCTATTTTTTGTGAGAATAAAAATTCAAAGTGGAAAGCAAAAGAGATGTAAGAGGGGCCTGGGGATGTGACTAATGAACGGAGAAAATGTTATTTTAGTGCCAGAAATGTCTGACTTGTTTATTCTAGACCCTATTTTGAAATTGGCATCTTTTGAAATTTGTGTGAAATTGGCAAAATTGCCAATTTCTGACCACTTTATTGGATATTCATATCAGTGAATGGGTGGTTTCTTGTACTCATTCGATAGAAAAAATGGAGTTCTAGTGAAATAGATATGATTTTTGTCGACTAGTACACTAAAATTGGCCAAAAACAGGGCTCAAAGTGGGTGAAATCGCCGATGTGTCAATATTGCCGAGACCGCTAACTTCGCAAGTGCATAATTCTGTAAGTTTTCCATCAAATTTCATACTTTTGGTGTCATTATGATCGGGAAAACATTCTCTATCATTTCATAAAAAAAAAAAAAATTTCCCAAAAAAATTTCGACCCTGAGAATGAGTTTAGGAGAGGGCCTCTCGACCCTGAAAAAGTTAAATAAAACTTACTGTATATACCTGAATTTAGGGATCACCTTATTCGTTGGTAACATTTCTTAAGAGTTAAAATTGATAAACTAATTCCTATATTGAAGAAAAAAATAGATGAGCACTGCAGTAGGCTTACTGGGCATGCTAGGAAGATCCTGCCCACAGTCACACATCCATTCATTAGCTATTGCCAAAAAAATAAGTATTTTAATTCCTATACAGTATGAGAACATAAAAAATTAATAGAAGAGTTTTTCAGAAGGTCTACTGGCCCATGCTAGAAAGATCTAATTTTCAGCCAACCATTTCCTCTTGTTCATCTGTCCAAAGTTTGTAGTTTGTTCCATTCATCCTCAGCTCTGTTGCTTTCATATATAATATTTTCTTTCAACTTGAATTTATTTATTTGGTATCCATTGTTTCAAGTTCTATTGTGGATATGCTCAGCACCTTATTTGCAACATGTTTATACTGTACCTACAGTATATTCACTACCCAGTAAAATCACACATCTTATCATTGTTTGCAAGGATGATGACTGGCTATATGACAAATTACAAATTTTACGAAGAAACATGGCTTTACAGCAGGAAGTCACAACTATTGAATCATTATATAAAGTTTCTGAGGCTTGGGAAGAATTAAAAAATGCAGGCTTTGTCTACAAGGACATTGCTAAGGCATTTGATGAATGTGATTGTGGAGTAATAACACAAAAAATTAGATCAGTAAACATAACTGGGAAAATTAGGCAAGTAGATTTACAATTTCCTAATGAGTAGAACACACAATAGTAGTAAACAATGAAAAAATCTTGCCTTAGCAAAGGAAAAGCTCTGCAACTCTCCTGTTTATTATACTTGTAACAGAGATAAAAATACAAACCACAGCTTTGTTTCATTCTTTGTGAACTACACAAAAATTAGCTGGGCTTGAGAGTTGTAGTAGATATCCTCTGTACCAAGCTATTCCATGGTGAAGCTGTGTTAGACAAGTATCATTACATATTATTAATGGTTTGTAATTACTGATAAGCTTGTTAGTATTGTATAACATTAATACAGTGGACTCCAGGTTATCATAATTAATCCGTTCCTGAGAGAGTGACTAAACCCGACTCTTATGATTTCCGAATTCATTTTCCCCATAAGAAATAATGTAAATCCAATTAATCCGTTCCAGACACCCAAAAGTATTAAAAATAAATATTTTTTACATGAAATATGCATTTACCTACACAGAAAACAATGAGATTTGCAGAATAAAACAACAAAATGACACCTTTATTGAAGATTTGTTAATGAGTGATAAGATGGGAGGAGGGGAGAGGATGGAGGTGTACTGTTGTTTGGAAGGGGAATCCCCCTCCATAATGACTTCAGGTACCAAGTCCTTTTCTGGGGGTTACTTTCCTTCTTTTTTTTTAATGCCACTAGGACCAGTTTGAGAGTCACTGGACCCCTGTTGCTCAAAAAAGTGTTCCAGAGAGGTCTGTATCTGGCATTTCTTTACAATTTCCCTAAAATGGGACAGAAAATTGTCATTGTACATGTTGCCAACTCAGCCTGCAACAGCTTTGTCAGGGTGATGTTCATCCATAAATGTTTCCACGTCACCACTTTGCACACATGTTCTTCATCTTTGAAGAAGGCACCTTCCTCCATCTCTTCCTCCTCCTCTGAAGCAGTTTCCTGAGCTGTGGACTGTTGCTGTTGCAGATGAAGGCCTTGCAGCTCTTCGGTGGTTAGCTCTTCATTGTGATCCTCCACCACCTCTTCCACAGCCTCGCCACTCACATCCAACCCCATGGAAGTCCCCAATGCCACAATACTTTCCACAGCTGCCATAGGCTTGTCAGGGTCAGCCCCAAACCCTTCAAAATCTCTCTCTTGGACACATTCTGGCCACAATTTTCTCCAAGCAGAGTTCAAAGTCCTGGCAGTCACTTCCTCCCAAGCCTTACCTATAAGGTTTATGCAGTGGAGGATACTGAAGTGATCTTTCCAAAACTTTCATAGGCTCAAGTGAGTGTCTGAGGTCACATCAAAGAACCTTTGAAACATTGATTTGGTGTACAGTTTTTTGAGGCTTGAAATGATCTGCTGGTCTGAAGGCTGGATGAGAGGGCAAAAACTTCACTGTGATGAAACAAAACTCCTTCACCATTTGCTCTTCCAAGTCTGGAGGATAAGCAGGTGCATTGTCCTGACATAATAGATGTGGTCACAGAGAATGTAAACAAACCAGGTGGGGCGCGCCGTATTTGAAAGACCACTTGCCATATAACAAATTTTGGTCATAATTTGACATTGCTGTATTAGCGGAACACTGTAAAGCGGGGCCCTACTGTACATGAAATTACCGCCTCCCTTTCTTCGTTGACATTTAAAAGTTCCTCAAAATATTCCCACCATCTACCCAATACCTCCATCTCCCCATCTACCAACTCCCCTACTCTGTTTTTAATTGACAAATCCATTCATTCCCTAGGCTTTCTTAACTTGTTTAACCTTTTCAGGGTCGGCAGGCCCTCTCCTAAACTTGTTCTCAGGGTTGGAAATTTTTCGAAAAAAATTAATTATTTTTTCTTATGAAATGATAGAGAATCTCTTCCTGATCATAATGACACCAAAAGTATGAAATTTGATGGGAAACTTATGGAATTATGCTCTCGCAAAGTTAGCGGTCTCGACGATGTTTATGCATCGGTGATTTTGCCCACTTTGAGCCCTATTTTCAGCCAATTCCAATGTACCAATCGACAAAAATCATAACTATTTTGCTAGAATTCCACTTTTTTCTATCGAATGAGTACAAGAAACCACCCATTTACTGATTTCAACTATCTAATAAAGTGGTCAGAAATTGGCAATTTTGCCAGTTTCACACAAATTTCAAAAGATGCCAATTTCTAAATAGGGTCCAGAATAAACAAGACAGACATTCCTGGCACTAAAATAACATTTCCTCTGTTCATTAATCATGTCCCCAGGCCTCTGTTACATTTCTTTTGCTTTCCACTTTGAATTTTTATTCTCACAAAAAATAGAAGATTTGCTGTTATGCAGACTACTGCATTAGTGTAGAAGTGGTATAAATAATATCAGCGCACTTGTGAAAGAATATTAGACTCATGAGTTGACGTGTATTGGATGCATGGCTTGATTTATTTACTTTTGAACTTGGCAAAAATCGAACATTTCTGCTAATTTGAGTTCAATTTCAAGGTACTTTTTATTGTGAAAGCAATAAAAATTATCTCAATTTCCATAATATGTCTTCCATTCCATAAAATGAGACCAGGATAACTAGAATACAACCATAAATAGCATACAGAAATACACTGCAAAGTCGATCTTATAAACCAAAAACACGGTCAAAGGTTTTTTTTCCTCATTATGCACTGTGTGCTGCAGGATTTTTTTATACTGCACACACTGACCACATAGACCCATTCTTTCATATGTAGGCCTTCCAGCTTTTTCTCGCTAGATTTGAAGGCGCTAGAATTTATGCGTACTAGTACGGCACCAACCATGGTATGCAAGCCATACTTGTACAGCATCAACCCTGAAAGGGTTAACTCACTCCAAATTTTTTTCTTATTTTCATTAAAATTTCTTGACAGTGCCTCTCCCACTCTATCATCTGCTCTCCTTTTGCACTCTTTCACCACTCTCTTCACCTTTCTTTTACTCTCCACATACTCTGCTCTTCTTACAACACTTCTCCTATGTAAAAACCTCTTATAAGCTACCCTTTTCTCTTTTATCACACCCTTTTCTTCATTCCACCAATCACTCCTCTTTCCTCCTGCACCCACCCTCCTATAACCACAAACTTCTGCCCCACATTCTAATACTGCATTTTTAAAATTATTCCAACCCTCTTCAACCTCCCCACTGCTCATACTTGCACTAACCCACCTTTCTGCCAATAGTTGCTTATATCTCACCTGATCTTCCACCTCCTCCCTTAGTTTATAAACTTTCACCTCTCTCTTACTTGTTGTCATTTTCCTCTTGTCCCATCTGCCTCTTACTCTAACTGTAGCTACAACTAAATAATGATCCAATATATCAGTTGCCCCTCTGTAAACATGTATGTCCTGGAGCCTACCCATCAACCTTTTATCCACCAATACATAATCTAACAAACTACTTTCATTATGTTTCTATATCATACCTTGTATATTTATTTATTCTCTTTTTCACATAATATGTATTACTTATTACCAAACCTCTTTCTACACATAGTTCAGTTTAAGGCTCCTCATTTACATTTACCGCTGGCACCCCATATTTACCTACTACTCCCTCCACAACATTTTTACTCACTTCAGCATTGAAATCCCCAACCACAAGTACTCTCACACTTGGTTCAAAACTCTCCATGCATTCACTCAACCTTTCCCAAAATCTCTCCCTCTCCTCTACTCTTCTCTCTTCTTTTTTCTTTTTATTTTCTTTTTTTTTTTTATAAAAAATACATAAATACGTACCTGTTAATGCTGGAAACTGGAACCTGTGAACAAAGAGGAGAGACAAGATTATTCACATGTACCCGACAATATTGCCGGGTTTATTTATATGTTATTTTCATATAGTCGGACTTGAGTCCTGGAAATGGGAAGTACAATGCCTGCACTTTAAAGGAGGGGTTTGGGATATTGGCAGTTTGGAGGGATATGTTGTGTATCTTTATATGTGTATGCTTCTAAACTGTTGTATTCTGAGCACCTCTGCAAAAACAGTGATAATGTGAGAGTGTGGTGAAAGTGTTGAATGATGATGAAAGTATTTTCTTTTTGGGGATTTTCTTTCTTTTTTTTGGGTCACCCTGCCTCGGTGGGAGACGGCCGACTTGTTGAAAAAAAAAAAAAAAATTATATGTAGATAAATTTCATTGTAGAATGCCAATAAAATTGTCATCAAACACAACAGAGAAGTTTATGTAAAATTGGAAAACTTATTGGAGATATAAGTCTTACCAGTGAATCAGTTAAGTGAATAAAGTCATTTGTTGTAAAGTGTTAAGTTGTGGTAATATTGAATCTCATTTTTCACTGTGTGTTGCATTTGAAGGTATTTATGGTAGTACTGTATTGTAATACTGTAGGCTAAGATTCACCATAGTCAAAATCAAGATTTTACAAAGTGCTGGTCCATGTCTAATTCATATTATATTCAAACCTTTCATTGTGAAAAAAAATTGATACAGTTTGACTTCCACCTCAGGAAAGACGAGAATGTGATGAGCCGTCTGTCTGAAATTGCATATAGGGCAGTAAAGAAGACTGGAATCTTCCAGAGTTCGACCCCATACTACAGCCATCACCTTAATCCTAACACTCACTATCGCCACATGGAAAGAACCAGCACGCAGGGAGATGATAGTTTTGGCTCTCGCAGGTATCATATTTATCATTATCTTGTGTAAATAGATATTTAGTAGTATCTGATTCACTGTCACCCACATAGATATACATGAGTGACACTAGTGTCAATTTTAAGCACATTTTAAGCACAGTTTCCTCAGATATGTTGGGAGTGGGTAAAGCAGCTGGAACTGACGGGATTATCACAGAAATGTTAAAAGCATGGGGGATATTTATTTATTTATTTGAACATGATACATAGAAGTACAAAGAAATAAAGTGGTTAAGTGTAACATGCCAAAGCCCCGTGTATGCAGAGTATTATGGGCAGGCTTAAAATTAACTTAAGATTAACTAAGCGATGATATATTCGGTGGTAAACATTTTTGTAAACAAATAACAATTAAGCACAAATGAATATTTCAAAGAGAGGTCATATGGTCATTTACTATGTTGCTGTGCATTCAGTGGAATGGAGTATTCTATTAGGTAATGTAATTAAAAATAACGAAGTTTGATTGGGTCACAGGTTAAACATTTATGAGATACAATTATTCAGTATTTATTTAGTTGAGGGTGAGTAAGGGATTTTTAAGAAGAGACTTGAATTTATAAACAGACAAGTAATGAATTCCAGATTTTGGGGCCTTTTATGTGCATTGAGTTTTTGCATAGTGTGAGATGGACACGAGGAACATCAAAGAGTGATCTGTGCCTTGTGTTATGGTCATGCGTTCTGTTGAGGTTGGTAAAGAGACGTTTCAGGGGAGGGTTTATATCCAAGTTAAGTGTTCTATATATGTAGTAGGTACAATAATAAGTATGGATGTTTTGTATGGTGAGTAGGTTTAGAGTTTTGAATATTGGTGGAGTGTGCTGCCTGTAGTGGGAGTTTGTTATCATTCTGACTGCAGCCTTTTGTTGGGTAATTAATGGTCTGAGATGGCTTATTGTTGTTGAGCCCCATGCACAAATTCCATAGGTGAGATATGGGTAAATGAGTGAGTGATATAGGGCCAGGAGGGCTGACTGTGGAACATAATACCGCATCTTCGATAGTATGCCTATGGTCTTGGAAATTTTCTTGGAAATTTGTTGAACATGTGTTTGAAATTTGAGTCTATTATCAAGGTGGATTCCTAAGAATTTTCCCTCTGTGAGCTTTGTGATAGGTGATCCGTTTTTCATTATGTTAAGAGGAACATCTGTAGCTCTGTTACCAAACTGAATGAAGTAGGTTTTGTCAATGTTGTTAGTCATCATCCAGGTAGATATTTTCTGTAATTCGGAATTCACAGTATTGGCTAGTATGACTGGGCTTGGGTGAGAGGACGTATGTAGTGTCATCTGCAAATAGTGTGGGTTTGAGTAGTTGCGATGCAGATGCATTTGGTAGGTCATTTATGTAAATGAGAAAGAGAAGAGGGCCAAGGACACTTTCCTGTGGGACACCAACTGTAATTGGCTATGCAGAAGAGTTTGCTCCATTTGTGTACACATATTGGCTTCTGTTGCTGAGGTATGACTTTAGGTAGTTGAGGGAGTGCCCTCTTATACCATAGTGCGACAATTTTATGTGGAGCAAATCATGATCAACTGTATCAAAAGCTTTATGTAAATCAATGAAGATCCCCAGTGGGAATTCGTTTTTCTCTAGTGCTGTGTATATTTGTTCTAGCATGTGTATAATAGTATCATTCATATTTTTATTAGGCCTGAACCCAAACTGACGGGTTGAGTATGTTGTGGGAGATGAGGTAGGAGTAGATTCGTTTATGAATTAATTTTTCGAAGATTTTAGAGAGAGGGTGTAAGTTGGATATTGGCCTGTAGTTGTTCAAGTCTGTTTGGTCTCCTCCTTTATGGATCGGGGTGACCCTCGCCATTTTGAGAGCTGTAGGGAAGGTAGAAGATTCGATGGATTTGTTAAAGAGTGTTGCAATGATTGGTGACAGCACTTACGACGCTTTTTTGTATATAAAGGGTGGTAAGGTATTTAAATCTCCTGTTTTGTTTTTTAGTGTGTTGATAATAAGGGAGACATCTGTTGGGTTAGTCAGAGCTAGGAACAGTGTGTTTGGGTAGTTGCCAGTGAGGTAGTCACTGGGTGGGGTATTTGAGCTTGGGATTTTATTGGCAAGGTTTTTTCCTATGGTGGAGAAGAAATCATTGAGTGTTTTTGCTGTTTCAGTTGGTGAGAGTTGGGGTTCATCTGGTTTTGTTAGTTCAATTGCGCTCTTTCGTGATATCTTTTTTGTTCCTAGAATTTTTGATAGGGTTTTCCAGGTCTTTTTTATATCGCCTTTTAAATTGAATAATCTGTTCTCATAATACAATTTTTTAGCCCTTCTTATCAGGCTGGTTAGGATTGACGAGTAACGTTTTGTTTGGTCTCTGGTTATGTGACCCATTCTGTACTGTTTTTCGTATAGGTGTTTTGTATTTATGGATTTGAGGATGCTGGGTGCTAGCCAGGGACTGTTCAGTCTCTTAACTGTCATCTGTTTAGTTTTTTTAGGGCAGTGCTTGTTATAGAGGTATTAGGTCTTTTCTAGAAAATTATTAATACATTCGTCAATATCTGTATAGATTTCTACCTCAGTGTGCCAGTCAATGTTTGTCACTGCTGTTGTGAAGTTATTAATGGCTGCCTCATTGTGAAGTCTGAAAGTGACTTTAGTAGTGTCTTGGGGTAATTTGCCTAGATTAGTTATGAGGAAGGTAGGGTAGTGGTCTGTGGTATTATCTGTGATTATGCCTGATTTTAAAGGGGATATGGTGTTGGTCCAGATGTGGTCTAGTAGGGAAACACTAGTCTCTGTAATTCTTGTAGGTTTTGTTACTGTTGGTAGCAACAAGCAGTTACTCATAGTGTTTCTGAATTCAGTAATGTGTGGGTCCTAGTCTTGCAGGAGATTTATATTGAAGTCACCCGGGATTAAGTGATCTTTATTCATGCGTGCATCAGTTATACAGTGGAACCTCAAAAATCGAACTGCTCCCAACACAACCAATTATGTAAGTGTATTTTTGTAAGTGCTTTTATAAGTATATTTTTAAGGGTCTGAAATGGACTAATCTAATTTACATTATTCCTGATGGGAATAAATTCATTCAGTAAAGGCACTCGAACAGACTTCTGGACCGAAGAAAGTTTGATATTTGAGGTTCCACTGTACTTCTTAGGTTTTCACTAAAACAGCTGTTTGACTGTGGTACTCTGTAGATGTTTATCACTGAAAAGTTTTTGTAGATATTTGGATTTGAATTTAGCTTTTATATATTCCCCATGTTCATCCCTTGTGCAAGTATTAGTGATACACTCTAGTTGGTCTGAGTAGTATACATCTGTGCCACCTCCTTGTTGATCTGGCCTACAGTTGTGTATGGCTGTGTAAATATAAACACATATGCAGTATAATGTGATCCTTTATTGACAACGTTTCGCCTACACAGTGGGCTTTCTCAAGTCACAAACAGATCTACCTGGGGTGGAAGGTACGCGAGTATTTATAGTCAGATTCAGAATGCTTTGATCAGGTGGAGAATGCTGCGTCTGATGATGTACCGAGTGGGGTTATAGAGTCTAAAATCTTGGGTAGCTTGGAAGGGAAATTGGATAAGTTTGTGAGCATACCTTCTGCAGTGTTCTTCCATTCCTATGCTCTTATGTGGGATAGCGATGAAGAAGTTTCTTGGCAAGTGATTCAGCTATGTTATAGAAGCCATTATTCTGGTTGAAGCTGTTGGATATAGAGATAAGCTATGATTCCAGGATTCTTCGGTATTGAGTGTTGTCTTCTGTGGCAATAAGTCTTGAGTTTCTGTAGTTTATTAAGTGGTTGTGAATTACAGTGTTGTACACAGGCATTCCTTGTGTTCAACACCTGTGTGCAACACCGTAATTCACAGAACCACTTAATAAACTACAGAAACTCAAGACTTATCGCCACAGAAGACAACACTCAATACCGAAGAATCCTGGAATCATCGCTTATCTCTATATCCGACAACTTCAACAAGAATAATGGCTTCTGTAACATAGCTGAACCACTTGCCAAGAAACTTCTTCATCGCTATCCCACATAAGAGCATAGGAATGGAAGAACACTGCAGAAGGTCTGCTCACAAGCTTAACCAATCTCCCTTCCAAGCTACCCAAGATTTTAGACTCTATAACCCCACTCGGTATATCATCAGATGCAGCATTCTCCACCTGACCTCAGCATTCTGAATCTGACTATAAATACTCGCGTACCTTTCACCCCAAGCAGATCTGTTTGTGACTTGAAAAAGCCCACTGTGCGGGCAAAACGTTGTCAATAAAGGATCACATTATACTGCATATGTGTTTATATTTCCATTGTGTTGGTATTTGATACCATTTATTTCCATGGCTGTGTAACCAGGAATGGCATAGACATCTGTAGTATCAGGCTTTAGCCAGGTTTTGGTGAGAGTAATGATGGACATACTGGCATGCAGGGAATTTAGTAATGCTATGAGGTCATCGTAATGTTTGCTTAAAAATCTGATATTGTAGTTAAAGACAGTTATGTTGTTGTTGGCTCTGAGAAGTGCCTTTGATTGTTCTGCTGTGTACTAATTACAGTTACTGTTTGATTCATTTAAGTCATTCAATGAGAAGTTGGTATCAGGATCAATGCTTGTAATCATAAGATTTATAGTGAATCTATAGTTAGAATTAAGTATAAGACAAAGTAAATACTATTCTAAAGCTAAAAAATAGCACCCAAAATATTTTAACAAATGTAAATATATGAACTAAGTTAGTTCTTTAAAGCTAAAATAAAGGAGACAATATAAAAGGGACTAATATAAGTTGTGGTGAACAAATAAAATGGTAATCAGATAAAGGAGCTTGGGAATATAATGGCAAAATAGTGAACTTATTACACTTTAGCACCTGAGAATAGCACCTTGATTATTTTAACAATTGTGGATATATGAACCAAGGTAGTTCTTCTTCTTCTTTCAACAAACCGGCCATATCCCACCGAGGCAGGGTGGACC